CAGTTCGACTTGAAAACCGGCTACAAGCCGGTCGCCATCACAGCAGCCAGGCCGGTCCCCTATGCCTGGCGTGAGGAGGTCAAAGCTCAGCTGGATGATCTTCAAGCACGCGGTATCATCGAGCCGGTCGATTACGCCACTGAGTGGTGCCACGCAATGGTGTTGGTGCCGAAGCCGTCTGGCGGGGTCAGAGTGTGCGTGGATTTCACACCTCTCAACAGATACGTCGAAAGACCGGCGTACCCAACCAGGACCGCACAGAGCGTTGTCGCCGACATGCCTGCCGGGCAGCGCTGGTTCTCTACGCTCGACGCCAAGATGGGCTATTTTCAGGTGGAAATAGCTGAGCGTTGCCAGGATCTCACCTGCTTCATGACGCCGTGGGGAAGAATGAAGTTCCTCCGAGCTCCCATGGGCCTCACAGTTTCTGGAGACGAGTACCTGCGCCGTGGCGACCAGGCGCTGTGTGGTATCCCGGGCACAGCAAAAATCGTGGACGACATACTGACGTATGACAGCACGTATCGCCAGCATCTAACTCACGTCATCGACATCATCCGACGCTGCGATGAAAACCGGATTACACTGAACCCTGCGAAGTTCCGGTTCGCTCGGCAGGAGGTCGACTTCTGCGGGTACCGAGTGACTCCCGCGGGATACACGTCAGACGGCGAGAAACTCCGTGCCATCGCCGAGTTCCCACGGCCACAGAATATCACAGATCTGCGGTCCTTCCTGGGCCTAGCTACTCAGCTGGGACCTTTCTCATCCGACCTGGCCGATGCTGCTAGTCCACTTCGAGACCTGCTGAAGAAGGGCCGACTTTGGTGCTGGACGCCTGATCACGAGGCCGCCTTCCGTGACGTGAAGAGTGTGCTGTCAGCACCACCGGTTATGGCATACTTTGACCCGAGTCTGCCTACCGTGCTGCAAACTGATGCCTCCAGCACCCGTGGCATGGGCTTTGCGCTGCTGCAGCGTCACGGCGACGTGTGGCGCCTGGTTCACTGTGGCTCCCGATTCTTGACGGACGTGGAGACGCGTTACGCCGTCATCGAGATCGAGATGGCTGCATGTCTGTGGGCATGCAAGAAGTGCCACATGTATATAGCCGGCCTGCCTCAGTTCGACATTGTTGTCGATCACAGACCGCTCGTGTCCATCCTCAACTGCAAAAGGCTTGCAGACATCGAAAATCCGCGACTGCAGCGGATGCGCCTCAGGCTGACTTCATATTGCTTCATCGCGAGCTGGCAGCGGGGCGCCGATCATAAGATCCCAGATGCCCTGTCACGGGCGCCTGTCAGTGACCCGACAGCAGGGGACGAGGTGGCGGAGCCGGATCCGGATCCGCTGCATTCTGCGGTGATCGCCGCTCTCCAGGCCGAGAGCACCGCAGAAGATGGGACGCTGCTGGCGCCACTGATGGATCCGGCGCTGGAGAAGGTCAGGGCCGCCGCCTCACGTGACCCGGAGTATATGAAGCTGCGCGGCGTGGTAATGCACGGATTCCCGGACCACTGCCATGAGCTACCACCAGAGGTGCGTCCGTACTGGGGCGTGCGCAGCATGCTGGCCGTGGACGATGGACTGCTTGTGTACGGGTCGAGGCTCGTAATTCCGTCGGACATGCGGCGTGAGGTGCTGCGCCAGCTGCATGCGTCCCATCAGGGAATCGAAAGAACCCGTAGACGCGCGCGTCTCTGTGTTTACTGGCCTGGCATAGATAACGACGTCGCGAACATGGTGTCGTCCTGCAACGTGTGTCGCGCAATGCGACCCAGTCAGCCCCGAGAGCCGATGTGGCAGGAGGATCCGGCACCGGCACGAGTCTTCGAGTCAGTGTCTGCAGACTTCTTCCATGTCGCTGGCCGCACCTTCCTTGTGTGTGCTGATAGGCTGTCTGGATGGCCGTACGTCTCTGTGTGCCGCCGAACTGCGTCAGCTGACCAGCTGACTCGTGAACTCCGCCATCTCTTCTCTCTGATGGGAGTGCCTGCCGTACTGAGGAGCGATGGAGGACCACAGTTTGCCTCGTCAATATTACGCCGCTTCTTAGAGAAGTGGGAAGTGAACCACCAGATGTCGTCCCCTGGTCACCCTCAGTCCAATGGACACGCTGAGGCAGCCGTCAAGGCCGTCAAAAAGCTGGTGATCGCAGCGTCACTAAGAGGGACGCTCGACGAGGAGCAGTTAGATCGAGGTCTGTTGGAGATAAGAAATACACCTCGAGCCGACGGAAGATCTCCAAACCAGGTGCTGTTCGGCCATCCCGTCCGGACGCCGCTGCCGGTTCACCATCGTGCATTCGCACCGCAGTGGCAGCGAATGGCAGATGAGTGTGACGCACGAGCTGACAAGCTGCATCAGGAGGCCCGTCAGCGCCACGACAGGGATACCCGTCCCCTGTCACGACTGGGCATCGGCAGCAGGGTGGACGTGCAGGACCTGACAACCGGGCGGTGGGACCGCACCGGCATCGTGGTGGCCATCGGGGCCCGCCGATCGTACTCGGTAAAGATGCCGAGCGGGCGCCTGTATTGGCGGAACCGGCGTTTCCTGCGGCCGCACCGCCCGCTGGTCTCCGAGACGGCGGCGGACTGTGCCACACAGCGGCCATCGACTCGATCAGCTCGGTCGGAGCGCGACCAGCTGGCCGGTGGTGCCGTGGTGCCGCAGCCAGTCGGGCCCCGCCGCGCGGACACGGCCGTTCCTGCGCCGGCGCCGGCCCTGCGCCGCAGTACGCGACCCCGTGGTCCGCCTCGCCGGTTACAAGTACGTTGGGGAACCACAACATACGAGTAGGCTTTACAAGTACTGCGGGCGGAAAATGTGTTTGTTATTTGGTATCTCCAGTCAAGTTGTTTGCTTTGAGACGCTTCACTGCTGTTCTTTTTGTTTGTTTGTCACGTCAGCGTCTGGAGGGAGGTGATGTGATGTGATAGACCCTCCCGTCAGAGCGGCTGGGTCCGCCCCTGCTACCAGGGTCGCGGGGCGCTGCCGGTGTCAGGGTCAGTTGGCTCGGCTGCGTGCCGGGGTGCGCACGCTCGTGTGTGTAGTGCCGTGTAGTGTCCCGATTCCGAATACACTCGACCGTAACTCAACAAGGCGCACTGGCTAACAGACTTATCTCGGCCGCGGCCCGTCCTTGGCTGTTGTAGCGTCACATCTGGTCTCATCTCATCACTCCCCCTCCCTACCCGGCCCTGCCGGATCTGCAGTGGCGCCACGCCCCCCCCCCCCCCAGCCGGACCTGCATTGGCGCCACGCCCCCCCCCCCACACACCTCCCAGCCGGATCTGCAGTGGCGCCACGCCTCCCCCTCCTCCGCCCCACCCCCACTGTACCCACACCCACCACACCTCTCCCTGACTCTGGCCCCGTCATCTGGCGGGTACCCACAGTACCGTACAGTTCGCCACTGATTGTTCTTACCACCCCCTCCCCCATCTTTCTGCCGCTCCCCAGAACTCACCGATGAGTAAATTCACCTGCTGAGGACGACCTCCGCTCTCCAGTGTATCGTCTGACGACTTTGCGCATCAATTTCATCGTCAGACTACGGCGCCGGCTCGTCAGCTCGTCCTGCGAGCCATCACTTCACACTCGCTCGCACCAGTAGTGGAGAGAACATAGAGCGATAGACGGAGAGAGGCCATCCCCATCATCATCCATAGGGCGGCGGCGGGCGGCGGCCGGCCGGGCGGGAGACAAGAGACGAGAGACGAGGCGGGACTGTGGAGACACAGAGACAACGTGGAGACACCGGGAGTCCGGCGCCGGAGACCAAAGATGGCTTGAACCGCTGTGTTGGGCCTAGAGATGCACCGGCCTGAGTGGCGACTCGGCGTAAAGTAAAGTAAGGGTAAAGTAAGGCGGGAGTTCTTCGGTTAGTGGATATCCGGATAGTGGCGTAGAACTGGAGTAATTCGGTGAACTAGGGGGAGGGTTTGGGGAGTAAAACTCTCCGCCCGGACCCCCGGCAGGTTAGGGATATCGTTAGTGTGTCGATTCCGCAGTCCGATGTCGTCTCCGCTGCTGCAAGAAGTTTCGGAGAGCTGGTGGCGAGAGAACAGCGCCACCACTGCTCAGACGGCAGTTCGTTGAAGCTTGCTCTCCCGTTCCGGCCGCCAGAGGGCAGTCAGAGGCATTATTGGGCGGGGCTCGCCGCTGGCGGCCCGCTATTGGCTGACGGAAACCTGCCTGATCGCTGATTGGTCAGCGAGATCAGCCGCTCGTCTCCCATTGTTCGTCGCCCCGGCCGGCCGCCGCCCGTCGGTTGCAGATGTACAATTAGCTCTAGACTAGCTTGTATTATTCGGAGAGCGGTGTTTTTTTTTTCGACTGCCGCTCGCCGACCGTCGCGCGGCTTTTGATTTGATTTGTTGACAGCGCGTTTGCGGGAGCGGTCGCGGGATCGCCTTATTTGTAAATACCGGAGGGTGGCGAGGTTTGAACGGGGGCACGCGCGCCCCGCGGGCTCCGCCGCGTTCGACGCGGTCTGTGTGCTGTACTGAGCGAGTGTGAGGGCTTGGGGTTCAGTGACGGGCGCTAACCCTACTCCGACCATTCGAGTCCCATTTCATCGGGCGGACGACGCACACAGACAGACAATACACCACTGGCCGCCAGCGGGAGAACGGCCTGTTTGAGGGACGGATGGACGATGTACGGACTGGTGCCGACGGAAAGACGGTGTACGGGCACCGTACGGACGGACCGTACGGACTGTACGGAGGGTATAACACGAACTCCTAAGACCTTGATTAACTATGTACTGGACGGGCGTGCGGGAAACACCGGTCAAACGACCTGGAACTACACAGCCACGAACTCGCTACCACCGCGTTGCGAAACTGATGTCTTTTCCACTAGACCGCACGGAGGTCTGGTGGCCAGAGCGATGGAATAATGACGCTCTGCACACACCCAAGCCCGGTCCTTTCGTAACGACCGACGAGGTCAACACTCAACACACCATCAGTTTCTGAAGCATAACGTATCGTGGTCACTGTATTGAACATCAATAACAGGACATTCAGACCATAGAAGGCAGCAGTCACAAGCGTGGCACGATCTTCACAGCTGAACACTGCAACATCACGCGCACATTCGGATAGTAACGCCAGATAAAGAGGTAAACCACAGGCTAAATAGCGCATTAAGAGGACAGAAGCCGAAACACACCATGTAGTTGTAGTATGACATGCTGTGTCTTGATGGAGATATTGTAGATAATGTAGAATTGGAGATTGAGGTTTGAAGCACTGATGACACCGGTGTACTTTTGAGTCGTATCGCCCCGGCTAAGGTACAGCTCCCAGGGCCACTGTTACTAGAACTCACAAGGTAACAAGTTGTACCATTTTACCATGATCCTAAAGGATTGGGCATTAGCACGTGACACACCCCACGCAGAAATCATCCATATAATAGCACATAGTTACATATTTCGTAAAACCAATTCCATTGGCAAGCATCTTCAATGAGTAGATAGAGTTGGGAGAACATTGGAAGTACATAAATAGTCATAGAAAACCTCAATTGGGCATCCATTGTGGAGTCACCTTAACCCCACTGTAACACGTAAATAGTTAAGTAGTTAAAAAAAATCAAGCCATATGCTTTAATCGGCTTGCTAGATGTCTACCAAGTTTCATTGGTCTTCACATTGTTCAAAGACCTAAACCTACCACCAAATAACTTTGAAAAATATGACGCGCCATATCGTTGTAAAAACGAGAAAGCAATACAAAAACCTGCTCATCCATCCCATTGATAGAAAGCTGTACCCCTGTTCAGCGAATTAGCCAGTCCCTTGGCCGCTAGCGCTAGACAGATACGCACTGTTCATAACACGACCTTGCTTCAACGAACAGGTGAAGCGATACCGCCCACCATCTCTGGTGGTCTACCAACCTCTCTGGATCGGGTAGGCGCCCCCATACAGTTCCATCGAGGCGTTCAGAATATGCCGCCCAGGGTTCGCGGTGACATCAATCAGTTGCCTTCGATGATGGCTATTAGGGCCTTCTTGTAGTCGCCCGACGTTTCACTCTGTAACAGGGAGTAGGAGAACGTCAGTCTATGAGCCGCTGCTGAGGCCAAGTCAGCAGAGCAGTCTGAAGATGGAAGTGTCGTGTTTGTGCCTGCTAATGAACATCACAACACGGAAATAACTAGTTACCTGTTGGCTGTTTATGCTTACTAGAGGTACAGGTTTACGCGATAACTGTATGTTTTGATTTATGTTATGTTACGGGTGCATTGGTTTGAGGGATTGATTTGTATTTTTAGATGTATTATTTGGATAGATTTGGGTAGCCGTTTTTAATTAAACTGTAAGGGTTGGTGATAGGTGCGGGGTGTTCAAGTGTTTTGTTGGTTAGGTCCTTTTTTAACTTAACCTTACCCTACCCTACCCTACCCTACCCTACCCTACCCTACCCCTACCCTACCCTACCCCTACACTACCCTACCCTAACCTACCCTACACTACCCTACCCTACCCCTACACTACCCTACCCCTACACTACCCTACCCCTACACTACCCTACCCTAACCTACCCTACCCTACCCTACCCCTACACTACCCTACCCTACCCTAACCTACACTACCCTACCCTACCCTACCCTACAATCCCCTACCCTACCCTACCCTACCCTACCCTACCCTACCCTACAATCCCTACCCTACCCTACCCTACCTACCCTACCCTACCCTACCCTACCCCTACACTACCCTACACTACCCCAACCCATACACTACCCTACCCTACCCTACCCCTACCCTACCCTACCCTACCCTACGCTACCCTACAATCCCCTACCCTATACCCTATCCTACCCTACAATCCCCTACCCTACCCTACCCTACCCTACCCTACCTTAACCTTACACTACCCTACCCTACCCTACTCTACCCCTACACTACCCTACCCTACCCTACCTTAGCCCTACCCTACCCTACCCTACCCTACCCTACCCTACCCTACAATCCCCTACCCTACCCTACCCTACAATCCCCTACCCTACCATACCCTACCCTACCCTACACTACCCTACCCCTACCCTACCCTACCCTACCCTACCATACCCTACACTACCAAGTTTCAGCTAAATCGGCCCAGAAACGGCTGAGATATTGCAAGAACAAATTAATTGTATTTACTGGCGAATCCCCTTGGCGAGCGGTGCCTTGTGTCGGCCTTCGTTGTCAAAGGTCAACGACCTCCCGGCTCTGATTTCGCTCAGTTCTGCAAGCGAACAACTGAGCCTAAAGCACGTGCCCTCTGCTCGGCGCCGGTCGCGGCCCCACCACGTGCACACCGCTGAACCCACACCGTCGAAAATTTAATACGACAAATGAGTGCACGCGCTCGACTTGGCATGAAAATTTCACCCCCGTAGCCCTTACCATTTCCGAGCAATAGCCTGTTTTTGCCGATTCTAATGCTAACCCTATGGCGCACATGAGCACGCGCCACGGGCGCACCCCCAGCCATATCGTGCCCAAAATTTAATACGACCTGTTTTTTTACGTGACCCACGACTGGTAAAAATTTCACCATCCTGCGTCAATCGATGGCGCCGTAATAAGCCTTTTAGGGAGTAACCCCGACGGCGTGGGCGGCGGACTTTTTAGGATTTATAATATAGACTAGAGGTACAGGTTTACGCGATAACTGTATGTTTTGATATGTATGATTAACGGATGCATTAGTTTGGGTGTAGAAGCTTGCATTTTTATTGGTATTATTTGTGAAGAACTGGGTAACTGCTTTTAATTGAACTGTAAAGTATGATGGTGATGCATGCGAGTTGTTCGAGTCCTTTGTAAGTTAGGATTTTACTCAATTCAACCCTACCCTACCCTACCCTACCCTACCCTACCCTACCCCTACCCCTACACTACCCTACCATACCCTACCATACCCTACCATACCCTACCCTACCCTACCCTACCCTACCCTACCCTACCCTTACACTACCCTACCCTACCCTACCCTACCCTACCCTACCCTAACCCTACACCTAAATTACCCTTACCTACCCTACCCCTACCCTACCCTACCCTACCCCTACACTGCCCTACCCTACCCTACCCTACCCTTACCCTACCCTACCCTACCCTTACACTACCCTACCATACCCTACCCTACTTTACCCTACCCTACCCTACCCCTACCCTACCCCTACCTCTACCCCTACCCTACCCTACCCTACCCTACCCTACCCTACCCTACCCTACCCTACCCTACCCTTACCCTACACTTACCCTACCCTTACCCTACCCTACCCTACCCTACCCTACCCTACCCTACCCTTACACTACCCTACCCTACCCTACCCTACCCCTACACTACCCTACCCTACCCTACCCTACCCTACCCTACCCTACCCTACCCTACCCTACCCTACCCTACCCTAAACTACACTACCACCAACAGTCCAAGTTTCAGCTAAATCGGCCCAGAAACGGCTGAGATATTGCAAAAACAAATTTATTGTATTTACTGGTGATCCCCTTGGCGAGCGGTGCCCGGCGCCGGTATTCATTGTCAAAGTTCAACGACCTCCCGGCTCTGATGCTTTTCACTCAGTTTTAAGCGAACAACTGAGCCTAAAGCACGTGCCCTCTGCTCGGCGCCGGTCGCGATTCTAATGCTAACCCCATGCCGCACATGAGCACGCGCCACGGGCGCACCCCCGGCCGCATCGTGCCCAAAATTTAATACGACCTGTTGATTGACGTGACCCACGAGTCGTGAAAATTTCACCCTCGTGGTTCAATCGACGGCTTTGCAATAGGCGTTTTTGGGAGTAACGCCGACTGCGTAACCCCGACGGCGGCGGCGGACTTTTTAAGATTTATAATAGTAGATTGATTAACCCAGGGCTCTGATGAAGATTCTACAGCGCTCAAACCAAACAAAGTGAAAAATATATGCACCTCTCTGTCAAAAGAAATGCTGCATCATCGCGGTTTCTGTGCTAATCAAGGCTAAAACTCTGACGTGCAACCTGACCTGTAACCTACCACGCCGACCTGCTAAATGGTCTCAGAGTCAATTATACAAGTGCTAAAGTCTACAGCCCACGCCACAAAGCCAATCCAGTGTGTCTAGTATGTCCCAGGTTTGTCTCAACTCCTTCTCCCCCCCCCCCACACACACACCTTACTTTACCCCCCCCCCCCCTCCGGGTACCAGAGGCTTGCTTTGTCTGCCGCCGTGCGACTCACCGACACAGCCTTCTCCAGAGTTTTGCCGTAGAGTTTCAGGAACTCCTGTTTGATGTTTGCTAGGTCGTACTCGGCCCGACAGATGATGAGCCTCAGGAGGTCGTTGTCGCGCGTCCCCAGGCCCTTCATTGTGTCGTACAGCCGCTCGGCGAAGTAGGCAGTGCGGTTCAGGGAGCTCTTCACTGTAGGCAGGAGGGAGTGTGGTCTTAAAGCACTCAGCAAATGCGGTCCGGGGAGCTGATACATAGAGGAGACATTATGAATAAACTGTCGGTGGATAAACTACTCGAACCAATATATCATAGACGCTAATGCTATCATACAAATCATTCGATTATTCAACAAAAGCCGTACGAAACATTTAGCACCACACCCGGCCCTTTGACGCAGGGAACTGGTCCATATCTATCACAACCCACAGACACAGCTAATATAAGACGTGGCCATACCCACATTGCCTCGCCAAATGGCCAGCCAGCAGTGCCTGTTTATAAATCCCAGTATCACCAATGACCTACAGCACCTGTGTTATAATCCCGGGGCCATCAGCGCCTGTTTATAAACCCCAGTCTCACCAATAGCCAGCAGTGCCTGTCTATAAACCCCAGTCTCACCAATAGCCAGCAGCGCCTGTCGGTAATCCCCGCTGGTTTCCGACTCGATCGCCTTGATGAGACCCTTCTTGCTGAGTTTCTCGTACTCTGCCATTATGGCCTGCAGCTGGGCAGGGTTCTGGGTGACCAGGATCACATTGAACGTCTCCTCGTCTGTGCCCATCTTCTTCTCGCCTGTCGGGGGGAGAAAATGTGCGTGAATGCGTTAATGTGCGTCGGAAGACGCGTCATCAGTAGTCGGCCATCAGAGGTAATCACTGTAGCTGGGTGGTGAAAAACAGTGTGGCGATGTTAAACGCGACTGAATAATCTGCAGTCACGTGTCGGGTTTTATTTGTACCAGCGATACGCCGTCTAAGTAATTGTCACTTTCAGTTTCTTTCAAGAACCTATCGACAGCTAACAACCGTGAGCGTGATTTTGTGAACCTCAAAAATACAGTTTGTTATAGACTGGGCGGTACCGATTGATGCTCAATGCTCATGGACAGCTTTTCTTAAAAGTGATTTAGACTCAGCCGATTTAGCCGATTTAGACTATAGAACTGACAGTGATAATGTTCACCGCCAAAAGTCACCCGTCTGAGCAACGTTTTCAACAACATCTGGGGTAGAGAGGGCACGGTAAACGCATAAGGACCAAAACCGATTTAGATTGAGCCTGCCGCCTTATCACACCGACGATAGCACATCCAGCACAACACATATGACTAAAAATGGCAGATCAATATCGGCAGGCGGTGACGATACCGTGTCAAAGGGTGTAAAGGGCGCTCACTCACCAGCCTTGTAGAGGGCCTGGGCCTGGTTGGCAGCCTTCGCCTGGTCGACCTGACCCGACTCATCGCGGTTGGCCTGGGGTCACAGAAGGTCAACGGAAATCAGTGAACAAGTGCTGCTTTCATCGGAAAACAATGTTGTACACAATAAATACTATGTATAACAACTCGTTTCCTATTTGTGAAAAAATTACTTTTCGACTAAAATAGTAAAAATATGAATAAAATAGGAGCCATGTGCGGAGGACGAGACACTGAATCTATTTGTGGCATACGACAACTACAATATGTTTCACTGCCTTAATTCATAAACAAAGCCAAGAGAGTCGATTACCTACATGCACACATGCAACATTCCACGCATTACAAGCGAAATTCCACGCACAACGACGAAATGTGAGCAGGAAATCCGAAAGTACGGTTACGCCCCCGGCATGCTGCCCGATGAACTATTTCAAAGAGACCATAGTCCATAGCCCACACTATTGCCATTAGAATCATGTGTATAGGTTAGGCAGGTTCCTACTTCAGCTATGATTTATGAATGAAGCTTTTCTAGTTGGGTTAGTTGATGGTTATGCCTCACAGTTTGCTTTTGGGAGCGCATGCATTTTATCAAGTGGATCACGGATGATCACAGCTGTTCAAATACGTGAGACAGGTAGAAACTAGGGGCCTTTAGCGTTTTGTCGGAAGCGTCGTAGAGTCGTAGAGGTCTGGTCTACGTGATGCGAGCTCGGGACACTGGATTGAGTTGAGGCTCAGCGGACGCTGAAGAGAGAGTTAAATATATGCCGCAAGAAACTACCTAACGTTCCAGGTTGAGTCAACGAATATCTTCAAAGATTTTTGAAATAGGTAGGTAAGATACCTACTAACTACTATCAGTTAGGATCAACCGCTCGACAATACGCATGCTCAAGAAAAGTCAGTTTTCTTGTATCCTAAACGGCTAGATACTCTTGAGCTTGGAACAGGATTAGTTCCGTGAAAACAGAACACTTATGAGTCGATCGGGGTTCACATCCTACTCGACCAGCCAGATGGGTCAAGGCCGCCAAATTCCGACCCCGGCCCGTGCTAACCTACCTGAAGTACGGCGGTAAGAAGTCGTTTGAAGTGATCGCTGGATTCGGAGCGTACCGCCTGTTCCAGCGACCTGCCGTACACTGCAGGACACAGAGACGGGGTGGGAGAGAGGGCAGGATGAGAGAGAGCGAGCGAGAGAGAGAGAGAGAGAGAGAGAGAGAGAGAGCAGCCCTCCGCACCCCGCAGCCGGCCCCATGGAGGGAAGACGGGAGAGACGGAGAGGAAGGAGGAAGAGAATGGAGAACAGAGCTAGAGGGAATTCGAGTGAAACGGTAGCTATGATAACAAAAGAAGGAGTTGACCGTGATTCGGGCAGAATGGACAGGAAGAGTTAAGAAGACAAATAAAAAAGAGAAGGTTAGAGGAGAGAGAGAGAGAGAGAGAGAGAGAGGGGGGGAGTAGTCTAGAGAAAGGAGTTTGGGTAGCACGAGATAAGCTGTTACTCGGACGGAAGAAGAAGACAGAAAGAGAGGTGGCAATAACGGTATAGGCAGGCAGTGGAAGGAAGAGTGTAAATACCGTAGATTAGGGACCGTAGCCCTTGAGATGGAGGTTAAAAATGACATGACCGCATAACCGAGCACAGAGCCAAGCCACCCAACTAATGTTGCGGGTTCCACTAACCGAACTATCCGTGGCCCTTGTGTTAGCGGATTTAGCCGAAAATACCCGCAAGGCGCCTGTTTCATGCTCGATGTTGGTCAATGGGTGTAAGATTTTAATGCAACTGAAGAAACATTTGGGTGGGCGGTCTGCGCTGAATACCATCCCTTTTGCGCATTTTAGTACCTTAGAGGTTTCCGTTTTCGGTACTCCACGTAATAGCACGCACTGCAATGCATATACCTAGTAGTTATGTAGTTATGCAATTACGCATAAAAAACTAATGAAATAAGTAGTGCGCTATAGGGTTCGCAATAACAAGCATAGAATCTACCTAAGTGGGTCGTCTTTACTTCCGTGGGTTGTAGGTACTTCTGCAAAGGCTATGTGGTCTACTTAGAACAAAAATTGATCGGATGTAGGTACCGCATCAGAAGCATAAAGGACATCACGCTTCATTACGTGCATCCACAGGTAGCTTTGAGCAGTATTACGGAAACCCCAGCTGTGTTCCGACGCTGGTTAAGTACCTGTACAATGTCAGTGATGTAGCAAGTACTTGTTAGCACTGGGCTCACGGTATTAGGTACTTGCCCAGCTCTACCCTCTAAAAGGCCGGGCAGCGGGGTGCGGAATTGGCAGCAGGAAAAGATCACATCTTACCTGCAGCAGAGCTACGAGTATTTTCCTGAAATGGCCACTGGTCTCTTTGGTTACATCGCGCTCCAGGTCACGGTTATACACTGAAAATATATCACAGCTACATATAACCTTTATAAACTACAATCAAGAGCTGCGACATGGTTAAGCGATATAACGTTTAAAAATAATTTCCAACATTGAAACAATATGGCAATCTGATTAGGTAAAACGAAAATCATTAAAGAAAATACAGAACCCAGTTTGACTCATCCCAAACACTCATTAACGGTTCAAATGAAGACCATAGCACAATCGGTAGCTATCACACCACAAGTTAAGCATACGTTATTACGCAATAATAACAAATTCGATCATTTTACCGCGTACTTTTCTGGTAGGTGTCGCGGATGGCGCGGATCTCGGCGTTGCTGTGGGTGCAGAGCGTCTCAAAGAGGACATCCTCGTCCGTCCCGGCGCCCGCCATCGCCTTGTGCAGCTGGTAGGCCAGGAACTCGTACGGCGGCATCATCAGGCCCAGGATCACGTCCTCAAACTTTCCGCCCAGCTCAGACTTCAGGTCCTTGAGCAGGTCCTGGAGTTGGGGAAGGGTTAGGGGTGCGTCAGGTGGGCTGTAAGGTCCGACTTCAGGTCCTTCATAAGGTCCTGGAGTTGGGGAAGGGTTAGGGGTACGGCAGGGTGAGCCCAAAGGAAAGTCCTTGATCAGGTCTTGGAGTTGGGGGAGGGTTAGGGGTGCGTCAGGTTCAGGTCATGGAGTTGGGGAGGGTTAGGGGTACGGCAGGGTGAGCCCAAAGGAAAGTCCTTGATCAGGTCTTGGAGTTGGGGGAGGGTTAGGGGTGCGTCAGGTTCAGGTCCTGGAGTTGGGGAGGGTTAGGGGTGCGTCAGGTTTTAGTCCTGGAGTAGGGGAAGGGTTAGAGGTGCGTCAGGTTCAGGTCCTGGAGTTGGGGAAGGGCTAGGGGTACGGCAGGGTGAGCCCAAAGGAACGTCCTTGATCAGGTCCTGAAGATGCGGGAGGGTTAGGGGTACCGGGTGCGTCAGGTGGGCTGCAAAAGGAAATGTTCTTACTTCAGCGCTGGGTCAGATAAATTATTCAGAATAAGCTCATCGAAGTCCCATTAGCCGTTATCATAAACGTATCTGCACTGAGCCATCCACATTGAATCATTTCGCATACGTATTACGTTTGAAACAAGCATAATTCATAAACCATTTTTATAAGAGCATAAGGAATATCTTATTTATGTCGCGTCTTAAAGAACAGTGCGTGAGAAGTTTTTAACAATACATATTTGTCATCACATGACAAATGTACGTAAGCAAACGCAAACAAACTAACAAGCGGACACAAACACAAAAACATGTAAAAACAAACGCCCTAACCCGCTGTGGCTCACCCTTCCGTAGCCGCTCTTGTACTGGACGCTGATCTGTTGCCGCTGCGCGTTGCTGCGCCGGCACAGAACCTCAATAATGGCCTTCTCGTCCGTTCCGAGGCCTTTCATGGCCTTCCGGAGCGCGTGGGCGTCCGAGGCCGGGTCAAAGCCGGCCGCCGGCCTGATGGTGCCCTGCAGCTGAGGGCAGGGGTCAGGTCAGGTCACGTCAGGTCGGGTCAGATAAGGTCAAAGCCGGCAGCCGGCCTGATGGTGCCCTGCAGCTGAGGGCAGGGGTCAGGCCAAGTCACGTCAGGTCAGATCGGGTCAAGGCCGGTCGCTGGTCTGATGGAGCCTTGGAGCTGAGGGAAGTCAGGTCAGATCAAGTTTAAGTCATGTGTCAATTGTCAGCTTGACGGAGGCGCGCCACTGGACGAAGGTCACGTCGGGACGTCCCTTCAAGGTGAGTCATTTCTAAAGATCGCTGTCTACTGTTCGATAAGTTCAATAGTGTCATGTGAGAAAATGCTGCGTATGTAGCAATCTATGTAATATGCATGACGAATTGTTTTATCTGAGGTAGTTTGAGGTTGAAGTGTTTTTATCGGACAGTGCTGACGTCATGCATGTTAGGTTAGTGAGTCATTTTCATAAATATCGGAACCCCATGACAGTACATTTTCTTTCATTTTCCATCAATTCTCTCTGTATGACGTAGCCCAAAACAATGGCCGACTGATCGTGTCGGTACAAACATCGACTGCGGTAGGTTCGGGATGAACGGGACTGGTGACCCAGCAACTGGTGATCAGGTTTGGGGCTGTTAAACCAACGCACGTATCTACGTACTAAGCGCTTGCTAGGGCCTACTAAGTATTTAGCTTTGTAAAATTATTATGATATTTAACATTTGTCAATTAATTGGAACTTTTTTCCTAAAAACCAAATATTTCCGTCGATGGAGACGGCGGTAAAACACGATAAGTAGGTACCTACCTGTTTAACCCGCGCCCAGATGGGGTCTGCCGAGCAACGTGGTCTGATGGGGGGGGGGCCATTTTGCCCCCCCCCCCTCAGATCTCGAGAACCACGCAACATAGCGACAAGCGGTAAACGGTGTTGGATAGCCCCAACGGGGAACTACCTTGTGACCCAATTTCATTGACCTCGGTCAAACCGATGACGTCACAGGTCAGGTCAAAGGTCGAATTTTCACCGTTTTCAGGCATTTCAAGAAATGCGTTGTAAAATCGAGTAAAACGCATTTCATTGAAAATCATCGGTGGAGAAATGTTCTTCAAACACATGTTTTGCTATTTGAGGTCACTGATACCAGGTCAGGTCACAGAGGTCAGGTCACTGGGGGGTCACAATATGAAAGTGTCGTGTGATACATGTTTTATGGTCCATTTTACATGACAAATGCGATTATGTGGGTCAGACAGACTTTAGGGCCAGCTTAGGTCACGTTTTGGTCAAGGTCAGGTCAAGGTCAGGTCAAAGTCAGGTCAACTTAGGTCAAATTTCAAAGTTGATATTTTTGCTTAAAATGGGTATCGATTCGATGCAGCTCGTCACGGGGAGTTCAATGGTGGTCTCCGTTTTGCGCTACGAGGTCTAGAATTGCTAAAAATTGAGTTCAAAAATTTGACGTCATAAATTTTTAACAGTTTTTTTGCTATAACTTGGCCAAAAAAAGAGGTATCGATCTAAAATTTGGTATGTATATCGAAGAGCGTAGGGACTATCACATATTTTCCGTTTTTCGAAATTCGACAAAAATTGGAAATTTTTTGAGTTTTTCTAAAAAAATCAATTTTTTTGATTTTTGGGGGTCAAAATCCCAAAATTTCGAAAATCCGAGATAGCAGTTTTGTAGCGCCGTCTTTTCTCTACACAACCACATAAAGAACTTTAAAATTGCTTGTTAACTATAGAATTGGTGAGCGTTTCAAGATGTCATGTTTTTTGCTCATTTTTGCTCGAACATGACCTCAGTTTGACCTCAATAACTCCTGACCTGAGGTGACCTGTGACTTGAAATTTTGTGTGAAGGTGTCAAATTGATGCCCGGTAAGGTACCCAAAATTTGGCGGCGCTGCGCGCCGCCGTTTTCTCGCTATTTAAGAAAAACCACAAGGGGGGCCAAAATGGCCCCCCATCAGGGCGCGGGTTAAGTGTTTGTGGGTAACGAATTTGCCCTAAGATGCATTTGATTTCGTTGCTTTAATCAAACATTTTCATACAAGCCACTGCGAAACAGATTAGCCGCAATGTTCCGCAGATATCTGATTCTAAGTCAACACTTGGCAGGCACTTATTACCTAACGTCAGACGTGAATGTTGCCCTCTGAAGTCTTACCGCCGTGATCGGTCAAGGTCACCCTCTTTAGAAAGAAAGCGCACAAAAACACATCACACAGCATCGGACTAATGCAGAACACATTAAAACGTACCCCGAAACACGGGACGGCCCGTGTTTTGTTGTTTTTTGAGGGGAGGGGGCACGTTCTGGAGGTGCGTGGTGAGAGTTGGGAGTCATGATCTGTGTGGTGGGAGTCATGATCTTTACACAGTAACTACCAGTATAACGCCTTTTGGGGCGACTAACGGAGCGAGCGAGAGGGTGGGCCTTGCACGTGCGAAATTTCGACGGGGTACCTCCAGCTGACTTGTGCACGGCACCTTACTAACCGGTCTCTAGCGACGTGCCAAATTTGAGCACAATCGGCCCAGCCGTTATCGAGATCTGGAAGCGGCACCCTGCACGTGCGCACGTGCAAAATGGGTCCAAACTGACTTTTGCACGGCACCCTACTAACCGGTCCCTAACCATGTGCCAAATCTGAGCGCCATCGGTCCAGCCGTTCTCGAGATCTGGAAACGACCCCTGCACGTGCGCACGTGCAGCAGCACCCCAACTCTGGCACATGGATATGCAGTGCCTAGTAGGTGCCTACCTACATGCCAACTTTCAGCGCAATCGGCCAAGTAGTTACCGAGATATTGCAATAATTACAAAACGGACACCTCTTCGTTTTGCACGTGGCACGTGCATAAGGGGTCACCCACATGCATCGGGAATAGTCCAATACTTGGTAGAAGGAACGAAGCTACCCTACAAAAATTACCGCGTGTAAATCGGTCAAGTGGTTGCTGAGATATAAGCGTCGCAGAATCGTGACCACGGCCGGCCGGCCGGCCGGCCGCTCATACTCAGAAATTTCCGTTAATCTAAGGAAAGACTACGCTCGCTTCGCTCGCTCCGTAATAAGCAAGTTGAGTTCTTCATTCAAGTGCTCAACGCACCCGAACGCAAACGATTGCTTTTCTGTATAAACATAGGTCTATTTCTATTATTTGCTACTTCTCTTTCATCAGTAAAATACAGCCATGCTAGCATAGGCGGCGGAACGGGGAAGGCACCGGGGCACCGTGCCCCCCTTTGATTTTGGCATCTTAACATTAGCCCTATGGGCGTTGCATGGAAAGAATGGGACCAAAAGTCGGCAGTGCCCCCCTTTAATTGAAGGTGTTCCGCCGAGCGCCGCTACTGCATGCTACAGTTCCAATAAACAAACACGCGCCATTTTTCTACAGGTCGGGACGCACGCCGGACGCGCCGTGATAAGTGAGAGTAAAGTGCCGTCCCACACAGCGTGGGTAAAAATTGACAGTGACCCGACCATCAACAGGTCATCAACGGCCGCTTTCACCGGAACCTGACAGCGGCCAGCGCCCCCTCCCCTCCCCCCCCCACACACACACACGGGACCCGTCATCGATCAATAATGTTATCCATGTGACGTTTATGTGGTGGAATTGAGTTAACGTCCCCCCGATTTGTCCACTCGAGTATTTCCGTCTCGCCCCCGAGTGTTCACCACAAACTTGGTGCGATAAGTGATTGTGCAACAGGTGGGGGCTCGGGCTGTCACCCGGCATAGCATGAGCCATCGCCCTCACATATGTGTGTGATGAAGTAACCTCCCCAGCTGACACCGCCACTTACTCGCTAATCGTACAGCGAGCACCTTCCTTATACACCTTCCTTATCCAAATTCCGTAAACTTTGTCGTTTATCAGATGCCTTACCTACCTATCATGTATCTGACTTATAAGCTGCTCGCACCATCGCGGGAGTCCCAAGCCGCCGCCGCCGCTACCGGTCGCCCCGCCCCGCCGACGTGAGCGAGGCGGCACACGACAGCCACGAGACACTGTTTGGGGCGGGGCCAAAGCACACCGCCTCTCTCTGCTTCCTCCCTCTCTCCCTCTGCCTCACCTGAGCCATGGTGATCCCGCGAACTATGTCTCAAAAATCACTAACGGCGGCGTCTTATCACACTCCCAGCGAGCGCCGCACTATCTCTCAGACTCGTCTGATGAGAGGCTCTGTTTGCCCAACGTTAGCGCAGCGCGCAGCCGCCAGCCCGCACGTCAGCACCGATCCCACGGTATCAGGCTGTGGCTTTGGCAACGCCGGCCCCACACGGTGATCGGCCGGCCAAGCCAAGCCGGTGAGAGTGGCGGTCGGTGAAGTCCGGTGACCTTAATGTGACGTCATATGTTTGACGTCATCTTGACGCACGGTGTGACGTCATTAGGTGTCTGAGTCACTCGTGTAGGCCAATCTCCGGCTCGACGGCTCGAGGTGCGTATATTGGGATGATTCAAGGCGGTATAACAAGGACATTACGTACGACTAATGTAATATTGGACTCGACTATTGTCACAATGTTTAGTGTGACTCATAAAGCACGTGCGGCTTATTAGCCCGCGCCCTGCTGGGGGGGGGGGGTGTTTGAACACCCCCCCTGTGGTTTTTCGCGAATATCTCAAAAACGGCGGCGCGGAGCGCCGCCGTTTTTGGTACACCTTATCATACATCAATTCTACACATGTTGAGAAAATTTCAGACCAAGGTCATTCAAGGTCAGGTCACCAGGTCACTCGAAGTGACCTCACCTCATAAAAAGTTTCAATGTCTGTCATAGCTACACCGAGTGACCGATCGCTTTGTAACTTTCAGCGATTGCTAAGAGCATTAGCATGTACAAAATGTATATCTCAGAATTTTGATATCGATGACCTAAGGTCAGGTCAATTTTGCGACCTCACCATTATAAGTCAATGGGAGAAAATTGAAATGCGCCTGTTTTGGACGAAAGACATTATAAACACTCCCAAACACTGAATTA